CACAGTGCAATCAAATTAAAACTCAGGATTAAGAAACTAACTCAGAACCGCACAACTTCATGGAAACTGAACAACTGTCTCTTGAATGTTGACTGGATAAACAATGAAATGAAGGCAGAAATAAAGATGTTCTTTGAAACCAATGAGAATGAAGACATGATGTACCAGAATCTTGGGGACACATTTAAAGCAGTGTCTAGAGGAAAATTTGTAGCACTAATTGCCCACATGAGAAGCAAGGAAAGATCTAAAATTGGCACCCTATCATCAAAATTGAAAAACTAGATGAGCAAGATTAAAAAAAAAAACTCAAAAGCTAGCAGAATACAAGAAATAACTGAGATCAGAGCAGAACTAAAGGAGATACAGACACAAAAAACCCTTCAAAAAATTAATAGATCCAAGAGCTGGCTTTTTGGAAAGATCAACAAAATAGACCACTAGCCAGATTAATAAAAAAGAAAAGAGAGAAGAATCAAACAGATGCAATAAAAAATGATAAAGGGGATATCACCGCAGGTTCCACAGAAATAAAAACTACCCTCAGAGATTATTACAAACAACTCTATGTATATAAACCAGTAAATCTGGAAGAAAGGGATAAATTCCTGGACACTTGCACCCTCCCAAGCCTAAACCAGGAAGAAATCAAAACCCTGAATAGACCAATAACAAGGGCTGAAGTTGAGGCAGCAATTAGTAGCCTACCAACCAAAAAAAAAAAAAAAAAACCAAAAAACCCAGGTCCAGATGGGTTCACAGCTGAATTCTACCAGACATACAAAGAGGAGCTGGTACCACTCCTTCTGAAACTATTCCAAACAATACAAAAAAAAAATGGGAATCCTTCCCAAATCATTTTATGAGACCAACATCATCCTGATACCAAAACCTGGCAGAGACTCAACAAGAAAAGGAAACTTTAGGCCAATATCCGTGATGAACATAGATGCAAAAATATTCAATAAAGTACTGACAAACCAATTGCAACAGCACATCGAAAAGCTTATCCACCATGATCAAGTAGGCTTCATACTGTGGAGGCAAGGCTGGTTCAACATATGCAAACCTATAAACGTAATTCACCACATAAACAGAGCCAAAGAGACAAACCACATGATTATCTCAATAGATGCAGAGAAGGCCTCTGACAAAATTCAACAGTGCTTTATGCTAAAAACTCTCAGTGAACTAGGTATTGATGGAACGTATCTCAAAATGATAAAAGCTATTTAGGACAAAATCACAGCCAGTATCATACTGAATGGGCAAAAACTAGAAGCATTCCCTTTGAAATCTGGCACTTGATGAGGATGCCCTCTCTCACCACTCCTCTTCAATATAGGATTGGAAGTTCAAGCCAGAGCAATTAGGTAAGAAAAAGAAATAAAGGATATTCAAATAGGAAAAGAGGAAGTCAGATTGTCTCTATTTGCAGATGACATGATTGTATATTTAGAAGACCCCATCATCTCAGTCCAAAATCTCTTGAAACTGATAAGCAACTTCAGCAAAGTCTTAGGATACAAAATCAAGGTGCAAAAATCACAAGTGTTCCTATACACCAATAATAGACTTTAAGAGAGCCACATCAAGAACCAACTGCCATTCACAATTGCTACAATGAGAATAAAATACCTAGGAATACAACTAACAAAAGATGTAATGGACCTCTTCAACGAGAACTACAAACCACTGCTCAATAAGAGAGGACACAAACAGATGGAAAAGCATTCCATGCTCACGGTTGGGAAGAATCAACATCGTGAAAATGGTCATACCCCCCAAAGTAATTTATAGATTCAACACTATACCCATCAAGCTACCAATGCCCTTCTTCACAGAATTGGAAAAAACCACTTCAAACTTCATATGGAACTAAAAGAGAGCCTACATAGCCAAGTAAATTCTAAGCAAAAAGAACAAAGCTGGAGGCATCATGCTACCTGACTTCAAACTATACTACAAGGCTACAGTAATCAAAACAGCATGTACTGGAACCAAAACAGAGATATAAACCAATGGAACAGAACAGAGGCCTTGGAGGCAGTGCCACACATCTGGAACCACCTGATCTTTGACAGACCTGACAAAAACAAGCAATGGGGAAAGGATTCCCTGTTTAATAAATGGTGTTGGAAAAACTGGCTAGCCATGTACAGAGAGCAGAAACTGGACCCTTTCCTGACACCTTATAGTAAAATTAACTGCAGACAGATTAAAGACTTAAATATAAGAGCTAACACCATAGAAACCCTAGAAGAAAACCTAGGTAAAACCATTCAGGACATAGGCATAGGCAAGGACTTCATGACTAAAACACCAAAAAAATAGACAAATAGTATCAAATTAAACTCCAGAGCTTCTTCACAGCAAAAGAAACAATCGTTAGAGGTAACAGGCAACCAACAGAAGGGGAAAAATTTTTGCAATCTACCCATCTGACAAAGGGCTAATATCCAGAATCTACAAATAACTAAAGCAGATTTACAAGAAGAAAAATCGAACCCATTCAAAAGTGGGCAAAGGATATGAACAGACACTTTTCAAGAGAGGACTTGCATGAGGCCAACAAACATGAAAAAATGGTCATTATCACTGGCCATAAGTGAAATGCAAATCAAAACCACATTGAGATACCATCTCAAACCACCCCCACCCCCACCCCCACCAACTATTAGACAGGGTCAAAAAAAAAAGAGATACCATCTCACACCAGTTAGAATGGTGATCATTAAAAAATATGGAGACAACAGGAGAGGATGTGGAGAAATAGGAACACTTTTACACTGTTGGTGGGAGTGTAAATTAGTTCAACCATTTGGAAGACAGTGTGGCGATTCCTCAAGGACCTAGAAATAGAAATTCCATTTGATGCAGCATCCCATTACTGGGTATATACCCAAAGGATTATAAATCATTCTTTTATAAAGACACATGTACATGTATGTTCATTGTGGCACTGTTTACAATAACAAAGACCTGGAACCAACCTAAATGTCCATCAGTGATAGACTGGACAAGGAAAATGTGGAACATATACACTATGGAATACTATGCAGCCTTAAAAAATGATGAGTTTGTGTCCTTTGTAGGGACATGGATGAACCTGGAAAGCATCATTCTCAGCAAACTGACACAAGAACAGAAAATCAAACACCACATGTTCTCACTCATAGGTGGGTGTTGAACAATGAGAACACATGGACACAGGGAGTGGAACATCACATTCTTGGGTCTGTTGGGGGAGACTAGGGAAGGGACAGCAGGGGGTAGGGATGTTGGGGAGGCATAACATTGGGAAAAATGCCAGATACAGGTAATGGGGATGGAGGCAGCAAACCACATTGCCGTGTATGTATTTACACAACAATCCTGCATGTTCTGCACATGTACCCCTGCACCTAAAGTGTAATAAAAAAATATGTAAAAAGAGGGTGATTCTAATAACACTAATCTCATAAGGTTACATGAGTATGGTTCAATTTTGTATTAAGGTATGGATAAATTATTAATGTTAATGTATGAATAAAAATAAGTGATCTTTTGTATGTTTTGGTTATTATTTTTAGCCTAACCATTATTTGCAGCATTTCTCTTAAAAACAATCCACTCTCCCTTATTTTGAATTTACAGCTTTTTTTTAACTTGTCCTGGAATATTGAAATAGCCTTTTGTCCTAGTGTTTGGATTTTTAGTTCACGCTCTTGTCTTACTCTTTTTCTCATACCCTGAATTAGCTAGAATCTCCTAAGCTGCTTGAATGCCTGTGAGTATGATTGCAAACGAATGCCTCCACATTCCCAATGAGTAATTTACAAACATTTCCAATGAGTAATTTACAATCTGCTTCGCAGGCAATTGAAGCTCAGGTGAATCATCTCTTTTCTAATATCACTGAATTTTTTTTTTGTAAATCTCAGATTCAGGCGCTAATGGCAGTCTTTCAAAACTGGTAATTCAGAAATACAAGTTTTTATGTAGTCAAAACTATCCTAGAAATAAACAAAGTGTTACAGTATGATCATAATTGTGTGGGAAATATCTATGACTAAAAATTTTTGATAGGAACTATCTCTACAGTGTTGATTGTCCTGTCACTCAAATAACATAACCAAGGGTACATTTTTTTCTCTATTTAATGTCTTAAAATTTCCAAACTTTCTATACAATTTTCCAGTTTAAAATGATAAATATATTAGCATTTTAGTTTTTAAACTTTTCTCTCCAGGGGCTTTGTTTTCAAAATTAATAAACAAAATTCTAGAATTTATTTAAAGCTTTTTGACTGCACAGGTGTTCCAATGATTTACAGCCTCATTTCCTCACCACATATGTGTAGTTTCATTAAAATCCAGCAAAATCACCATGAGAGCCTTGCTTCACAGATAATTTAGTTGGATTTGTGAATTAAAGAAGTTTAATAGAAATATATTAATGTGCTTAGCATTCTGTGTGCCTCAATATCTTTATCTTTAAAGTGGGGGGAGAGGGCACAGAATTAACACAGGTGGGTTATCCTAGTTCTAAGATATTATGTATTAAAATTGTTAATACCTAGATATTTTCCTAATGGTTTTTATGTAAGTATTGTGATGGTCTAGGGAATGTGGTCATTATCTCAATTAGATCAAGCTGAACACTGTAAATTCCTGTGTCAGAAGGAAGCTATCAACAGGGACAGTGATATTCAGTCTCAGCTTCTGAAGGTTCTGACTCGTATTTCAAGATGAAACACAGAACTAACGCTGAAGAAATGTAGTCTTGTTGCAATAAAGATTTGTGCAGAGTAAATGATTTTTGAACAACGATTCTAAACTGCTATGATTATTTCTAAACTACCATAGTTTGTAAAAATAAATGAGATCCAGCAGCAGCTTAGCTGAAAGCTGCCACTGCCTTCACTGGGCAGGTACCAGTTGAGTCCCTCAGTTCCTAGAGTAGCTCAGGGTGGGTTTGGAATAGCTTATTTTATAAAATGTACACTTTGTTTTATTCAGGTTACACTGGAGAGCTTTGCCAGTCCAAGGTCGATTACTGCATCCTAGACCCGTGCAGAAATGGAGCAACATGCATGTCTGGTCTCAGTGGATTCACATGCCAGTGTCCCGAAGGTAACTATATTTATCACTCCAGAAAGTTTTCCATTTTAAATCATAAGCTGATTTGATCAGTTTTATACTTTGTTTCTGCAAAACTACACGAGAACTTCCTTTTTTGTTTGATTTATAAAACATAGATGATAGTCTCCTTTTCAGCTCTATGCTGGCATAGCTTGAAAATTATTTGAATATTAGACATAATCTAGGACTTTCTGTGATTTTATTTATACATTAAAATGAATAGCTATAATAAGATTGTATTTGTATTTTGTTTGGTTTTTGATATGAGTTTACATTTAAAAATTCAACATAAAGTTTCCTTCTGTTTTTAAATCAACTTTATAATGTCTTAGAAAATTCAAGTCACCTGGAAAGCCACATCTTTAGGGCTGCTTTTATTTTCAAAAGCAGTTTTACAGCTGGCATAGTTTTACCTGAAGAAGCAGGCAGATAACCACAGCTATCCAGCTGGTGTTCATGAAATTGTAATCTGAGGAAGTTTTGTTCTCATTTCTGCTTGCAGGGATGTCATGGAAGGGATTACTTTAAATCGTTAATGTCGTAACATAACATGACATTAGATTGTTTTTTAGAACCAGTATTTAAGCTTCTGATCCACAGAAGTTACATTGATAACTACATAGAGTGATATCCTTTGCAGATATTAGATGTAGAGCTGGAGTGCCTAAGGAAACATCTCTGTGTTCACAATTACCGTAGATTATCTATAGCTGAGAGACAGGGAGAGGGCGGTGGTACAGGATGGATGTTGATGAGAGGCCGTTGGCCTCCCAGATAACCTAAGTGCTTGGGCTCTCAAGGAGCTGCCCCTGTGATCGGCAGTACCTCATACCCAAATATTTTGGAGAAACGAATGTTAAGAAGGACAGGTTCTTGTCTTCCTGCTCACTTGGGCAGAGCAGGGGCCAGGGTGGTGGCTGGGGTGAAATGGCTATGGCCGACCCAGCTATCCCACTCTGTGCTGGTGATGAGTTAAATGTGTTTGCTGAGCCCTGTTCTGCACCCTCTCCTTTTGCAATGCAGGCTCAGCTCCCTCAACAAACGTGAAACTTTATAAATGTTACGGAGGGCTGATGACTGAGGAAGCAGCACTAGTCTTCACTCACACAGAGCACTTTGCAGTTCTTAAAGCTCTGTCACACCTTCTATTAGTCAGTTGCCACCTAACTCTGATTGAAAGCCTTGCCATTTAGTGTTTAGTCAAGGGCAGCCTTCCTGGTCATTCTGGGACCAAATGGAATTTTTGTGAAAGTGCTTTAAGAACTCCAGCATGATTTCTTATTGCTGGGGTTGATACCAGAGAGTTACAGTCAGGCCCCTGGAGGTTCATATGGGGGTAATTTGCACAAAATCACACTGGCAATAAACAATGGCCTGTGAACTAGAAACTGGGAATTTTGCTTGCACGCATACTACAATTTCCTCGTTGTTCATGATTTGCTGAGCACTTTATGTATACCAAGCACTGTGCTAGGTGCTAGGATATAATGCTAAGGAAGGTGGAGATGGCCCCTCCAATGGTGCATACACAGATAAGTATGTAATTACATGCTGGAATAGTTGCCTTGAAGAGGCACAGAAGGGATCTGCCTGGGCTTGGAGAGCTGGGAGAGACCCATGTGCAAAGACCCGAAGAGAGGAGAGGAGCAGATGGTGCAGTTGAGGGCATGATTGAGCTAAAAGGATGAGAAGAGTAGTGGTGATAGCAGGTGGAAGCATGCAGGGCTGGGTGGGCCCCTCAAGGCCTTTCATCTTCATCCTAGAGGGGAGGGAGTTGGGGAGTGAGGCTCGAAGGCCAGTTCCACTCTTTACTTACTAGCTTTGTCCCATGGGCATGTGATTTTATGCCTCCCTACATTTGGGTGTTTTTAATCTGTAAAATGTGGTGAGGATTGTGCCTATGTCATAGGATCAGTGTAAGGATTAGATGAGGTGAGACAGATAAAGTGCCTAGCACAGTACCTGGCTAAGTGCTGAATACGTATTAGCTATTTTATCACGATTGTTTTCATAGTAATGGTTACTGTCAAACCATGGATAAGCAGGGGAATTCAAACTTCGTTCTGGAACATAAATTAGAGAGAGACAAGAGTGGGAATAAGGAGAAAAGTTTGGAGACTGTTGTGGAAGTCCAAGAAGTAGATAGATGTTGGCTGCTAGGAATAGAAAGGTGGAATTTGAAAAAGAGAGAAGCGGATGGATTTGGAAGAACTTTGGAGGGAAAACAGAGGAGGCCTGAGAAGGAGCAAGGTGGAAGGTGAGGGAGGGTGAGGCAGAGAGAATGGGGCTTTGCAGTGGGTTGTGCCATTCATGGAGAAACAGATAAATGGAGGAGAAGTGTTCTATGTTAGAACCGTTGTGAGAGACCCTTGTGATACTGAAGTGGAGATGTCAGCTGGGCTATGGCTCTATGAATCTGGAAGAAGCCTGGACTCATCTAAACACAGAGACACTGGCCTTTAGATAGCAATTAAAATTCTGGATGTTGATCTAGGAACCCTTCTCCTTTATCCAGTGGCATGCTACCCCTCCGGACTGCCAAGATAAAGCCTAGAGAAAATGTGAGGCTCTAGAATTGAGAAGATGAAGATGAATTTTTTATTATGAAGACTTTCATTCAGAGATTTATCTTCATTGAAGACTGAGCAGGGACAAGCAGGCTTTCATTAGAGTTTAGAAGAATTTGCTGGAGTGTGTAGCAGCCTCTTAGCAGGAGCTCATACCTGGTGACTGGCATTTTTTTAAGCAGCCTCTCCCACTGGCCTATCCTTAGAGTGCTTGCTTTTGTGTATTGGCAGTAACTCATATTTATAGAATACTTTGCACTTTAAAAAGAGCTTGTGTCACTAGGCATGGTGGCTCATGCCTGTAATCCCAGCAATTTGGGAGGCCGAGGGGGGTGGATCACTTGAGGTCAGGAGATCGAGACCAGCCTGGCCAACATGGTGAAACCCCATCTCTACTAAAAATATAAAATTTAGCTGGGTGTGGTGGCGCACACCTGTAATCCCAGCTAGTTGGGAGGCTGAGGCATGATAATTGCTTCAACACGAGAGGTAGAAGTTGCAGTGAGCCAAAAACTGTACTCCAGCCTGGGCAACAGAGCAGGATCCTGTCTCAAAAAGAAAATAAAAAATAAAAAGAGCCTGGGTCTCCAGATGTTTCTCACATCAGACATGTCCTGGAGTTTGGAGCCAGCCCTGACCCTTGCCTGCCTCCTTTTCAGTTTCTCCATTGTAGGTTTTTGTTGATTCTGCCTGCCCCGCTTCCCTGTGTTATTCTTTGAGGAAAGGAATTGTATTTGATTCATCTTCTTGCCCACACGAACTTCCAACACCTTTCCTATGGGTTGTGTTTTATGTTAACAGGAGGGATTAATATTTGATGCATAATTTAATGATAGAAGTCAACACTGCCCCCTCACTGTGTCTGCTAACTACTTTGACTCACAACAATGAGAATCAACTTAGAATTGTGTGCTGGGCAGCAGACACTGTTAATGTTTCCATTTAACAGATTAGCAAACTGAGACACAAGAGGATCAATAACCTGCCTCAGGTCGCAGAGCCAGAAATGGAAACCCAGCCCAGAAATTGGCTCCAGTGCTCCCAACTAGTGCCTTATACCATCTCTGAATATATTCTTTAAAAGAAATTCCATTAGATTTTTAAAGATTATCTTTGTAACCATAATCATAAGCAAAATGCATGCAAAGCAAACTTGTCAATGTCTCTGCTGTTTACTTTCTTAAATCGAAAAAAGTGAGAAATCATTATTTTTGGTAAGCAAGTGAAATCCTGTTATAAGAATTCCTGCCAGGCTCGAAAGCTGTTAAAACTGGGTTTTCTCTCTGGATAGAGCTCTCAGCAGCACACATCCATGTCCTTCCTCTTTTTTCTCCCATTTCATCTCCATCTGGTTTCCTTCAAGGACCTTTTTCCATCTGACCTGGGCAGGCCCGTAGAGGTTGAACATCCTTCCTGGGGACTGTCTCAGTGACTCCTGCTCCTTCCCAGAGTTCCAAATCGGGCAGCCCGAGAGCCGGCGGCAGTCGCCTTCACAGCTGCACTCCTTCGGGACACGTCTGCCCTTCTACATTGAGATTTTTATCCTTCATCAACCGGTTCTGTATTTCTTTTGAATTTCTACTTAGCTTTTACTAGGTTCACATTGGGAAAATGTAGCTTCAGATTCTGGTTACGGTGGGGATGATAAGAAACAAAAGTGAAATATCGTGAATGTTTTTTTATATCCACCTAATTGAATGATAACAGCAATGACTAAGATAAGCACTTAGGATCTGGCATTATTGCTTAAGAATTTATTGTCTTTATATTTGGTTTAGAACTTTGAAATCCTTAAGTTTTAAACTAAATGCATTTTAATTCTGAAGATATCTAATTATATATACCTAGAAATTCGGCATATTGGTATTTAAATATGCATATTTAAATATATGAATATATTTGGATACATGTATAAATACAATCTGAATACTATTCTCTAGCCATTATCTTTACCTCAGTATCTTAATTCCATCCCCGTTCCACTGGGAATTTGGAGTAGAATAACACATACATTAATAAAGAATAAGAACTCAATAGTGACGAAAACCTCCTGAAATAAAGAACATCCATTGCTTCTGCAGCAGTGACCATTCCCCTCCTGCAGAGCACACCTGAGCAAATGGAACCGCCTTCTTGGCATCTCCCTATTACAAAAGGCATAGGCAACCAGAGACCAAAGTGAGAATACGGGGCTTTATGCACTATTTTGAAAATGTATCATTTTATCCAATGCATTTTAAAAACAGTAAAGACATTTTCTAGCACCGTTCCTATGGATAGGATTATGGAGTACATAGATTTTGTATAAACTGCTCTTGCACTCTAATTATGAATGCAAGTGTTACAACCAGGTAGGGGACTCACATCTTCCAGTCCTATGACATTTAGAATGCAGTGTTGGATTTTGCTATCGGACATCAGAGA